GGGGTGTTCATCCTGCGGACGCGGACGGGAGGGGAGGAAGAAGAAGCAATGACGGAGGCCTTACTCTCCTCAGGCTTGGAGGGGAGTCGAGGGGGCAAGGCGGGCACAGGGGTGGTGTGGCAAGCCTACCAGGCCGGGGCGGAGGGCCAGGGGGGGGGGGAAGGGGGCGACGGACTGGTTTTAGGCATGGAAGGTGGCGGTAGCGTGACCGACGTCCGATGGCACGGGAAAGGGGACTACCTGGCGAGTTTAGTGCCGACAGCGGGCGGCAAGGCGGTGATGATCCACCAAATCAGCAGGGGGAAGACGCAATGCCCCTTCAAAAAGACCCACGGGCAGGTCCAAGCCGTCGCCTTCCATCCCCACAAACCCTTCTTCTTCCTCGCCACCCAGACGCACGTCCGAGTCTACCATCTGGTCAAACAGGTCCTGATGAAGAAGCTGCTGTCGGGGTGTAAGTGGATCAGCTCGCTTGACATCCACCCGACTGGCGACCACGTCTTGGTCTCTTCCTACGACCGGCGCGTCGTCTGGTTCGACCTGGACCTCTCCTCTCTCCCCTACAAGACCCTCAAATACCATTCCAAGGCCGTGCGGGCGGTAGCCTTCCACCGGTCCTACCCGCTCATGGCCTCGGGGGCGGACGACGGGACCGTGCACGTCTTTCACGCCACCGTGTACGATGATCTGATGCAAAACCCCTTGGTCGTGCCGGTGAAGATCTTGCGGGGCCACGCGGTGGTGGGTGAGGTGGGCGTGATGGCGCTGGCGTTCCATCCAACCCAGCCTTGGGTGTTCTCGGGAGGGGCGGATGGGAAGGTGGTGCTGTATCAAGACGCGTTTTGAGCACGGAGGGGGGTCGGCACTGGGGAATAAGTGACACGGAGCAGGGGAATGAAGTGGACCAAGTATGGACAGGAAAAAAGAAAGGATGACGGAGACATAAAAAAGTAACGGATCAGGTCTTGTTGCCCCTGCGTGGCGGAGGTGAGACTCCCTCGCCTTGTGCGCTCGGGGCGTGGCCGACCGGTTGGATGGATCTAATTTAATTGTAGCTTCGTTGTTGGCTCTCTATTTTTCGCTTCTTTCACATCTCTCTACAGCACACCAGATCCCACCTGCTTCTTGGTGCAAAGAGATCAAAAATAATGGCACTCCAGTCATCTCAAAGCTTCTTGGAAAGACGTTCACTGAAAACTCGCACATACAATAACCCCCTGACTAGCAACTAAATTTCACATTCGGTCCGCCCGTCATCCAAGAAGCACAATTTACTACAGCGCAAACAGCTGAATACCTGCAGCTAATACCAGAGACCATGGCCCATGCATATGGGACGGACAAACTGGAAGTGCACGCTGGGAGGGGTAACGACACGCAGCAACTACGCCGTCGGAACCGCACCGCCCTTCGATGCGCGCACGATGGGGGAGCCCTTCTTAAAATGGCCCTCCAAAATGGGGCAATTCTCGTAATTTATGTCGTCACTCAACCTCAAGAAGGGAACCATATAAAAGTACTTCACCACGCCGACAGGCACCGGCATACCAAAGGCAAAGTTGGTCTGAGAGAAGACAAACGCGGCCTCGGCTCGGGATAAGGTGATCTCCACACAGTCAGTCACCAAGTCAGTAAAGTCAATGGTACCCACCACGGTCGATTGACCCAGTACACAGCGTCCGACCTGAGTGTAGCCATTTGCACAGATAGCAATCACGTCATAATATGTGAGAAGACAATGCTGCAGCTTGATGTCGAAACATCTACGTGTAGAAGAGTAGGAAGGATGCAGACCAGAAAGCCAGCCCACACGCGTAAACGGTGGAACACTCTCTGCACGTACCTTTTTGTAGAGCCTGGAGACATAGTTGCAATCAAACGGCACGTCTGGCATGGATATAGGGCATGCTCGAGCTCGTCAGGTGCGGTGAGCTATAAGACGAGGAGAATACTAGATGACGGGGGTACTTACATTTCTTCGGGTCCGCGTTACCGTATGCATAATACCCGAAGTACCTGGCGTTCTTGGAAATGCCAGCGATCCCTAGGTACGCCTCCGTATTTCCTGTGATGGCTCCATCGTTGACTCCATCATAGGCCCAGCCACGACAATCCCCTAAGAGGGATTGACAAGAAGAAAGATCGGGCCATGTACTCGCATTGCCCTTTTCAGCATGAGCACACTTCAAAAAATTCTTAAATTGCCTGTTTTTACAGACTCGCTCGTCCCCAGTGAGGTCATTATTGGCATAGACGTCAGAGCTGACGAAGGCGGAGAAGGCTTGGGGCATCGTCCCCAAAAACAACAAAGCGGCTGCTGGCAACCCAAAGAAAGCCGTTTTCATGATTGAATTACCACAGTCTGCAAAGCGCTGAATTATGTTCGGGAACGATTATTGACATGGCCAGACGATACACGAATGATAGTGCTTAGAATTCATAACAGGAGCAAGATCAACGAACGCTATCCTAGTCTGTTTCACGTCATTATCTTGTCTTCCCAAACCGCCCCAAGTATTCTTGGTACGCATTACCTTTGCATACGCAGATATGACCATCTCTCAAAAACCCTCTGGAAGCCATTTCTATGATCTTTGATCACGATCGGTTCGTGCTCGGCGGTCGCGCCCAGCGAGTACCCGTCAAGTAAAAGATCCACTCGAGTCCCATTCGCTGACAGTGTGAAGGCAACTTACCTACCTACGTCATGGTAGTGTCGGGTCAAAGCCTATACACCCGGCTTGCGATTGCCGCCGAGGAAGTATTGTCGAAACCACAAAGCGCCCTCAAGAAATGGTTAGGAAGTCCGTTGAATTTCAAAGTTTTAAAAAACTAGAGGCAATGTAACTGCCGAACCGCTCCCATCCTATGAAATTGTACTCGTCTTTTTGTCCTCGGAAGATTTATGATGTAGCTATCTATAACATACAATTTGTTTACATCTGTCAACCATGATGGTCTACCCAGATGTCCAATTGTCTTGCAATGCGACAAAGATGAGGTTTGGAAAGCGCCGACTTCCTGTGTCACCGTCCGCATCACGGCCCCTTTCCCCTCCCGCCGCCTCCCAAGCCCCACTTGGATGGCAGTCTCTACGAAATCAGTTGAAGACACGAAGATTCAAAGCTTCCTATCCGCCATGAATGTTTCAATAGTCATTTAAAAAAATTTCACGAAACCGATTGTTCCACGTTTGTCACGGCCGCATTGGCATCATTATTATTTCGATTAATGTGACAATTGCCCCTCTCATATGTATGCTTACAAAGGCAACGATAGAATGTTTCATTTAATGATGTTGCCTTACGTTATTCCGAACCACTTTTCCAAAAAAAAAATGGGGCATGCGCATGACATAACAACGCACGTGACCTTTCAGGAAAATCAATTTCATGGACACATCACTTAAATTGAAATCCAGGACCGTATAAGTCCTGCAAAAGCTTCGCAATGTTTTTTAATTCCGTGAAGGATGCGTGGGTAGGTGAATTGACTAACGGGACGAGGAGGCAAGATTTCGCCATCTCGGTATTCTCTGTGCCGTGCCTTTAGGTATTATTACAGTATCGTAAGCGAAAGGGAGCGATGTAGCCGTCGGGAGCGGGTCAAGAGGAATGCATGTATGTACTGTATGTACTCAGCATGAAATTTGTGCAAGACATGCTCGTGGGAGTGCCCGCTCAAGATACTGCATTCCAGGGTTTGCCCGAAACCTAGCAAGAGATATTTCTTTTATGTGGGAAGTTTTGAAAGGAATAATAGGTAGTCAATGTGTCGAACAGCGCAACGCAATTATAAAGGCGTGACAGAAAGCAGAATGGCGCCCACTGGATTTCTAACCCAGGCGTCTTCAGAGTTTCCCCTCTTTGGGCTTCGTTGCTCACGTGAGTTTTGGAGTAAGACATCGTGAAGCTGCAAATAAGTTTACTTAACAGTTTTAAAGGATGTTGAATCTAATATCCAAGCGCGAACTAGGAGATTTGAAACACCACCACGCAGTTAAGGTCTTAACAAGGCGCAAAAGCTTATTGTGGCGTTGCCAAAATAACATGGGAATCAATTTCACCAACCTCCTGGCAGGGAGCCTTTGATCTAGTTGCGGCCTCTCTCGGCATCAGGTGTGCGTCGAAACACGCAGCCGAATCGAGGTCATGTTTCAATCGCAATGAAATTGTCATGTTGCATCGCAGTCACCTAAGTCTGTGCCCGTGCGAGTCTTATTGTGACAGTGGTGTTTGGAAAGGGTGCCCTCCTTCACTGGTCCCTCGCCCCGGAAAAATTCCCCAACCAGCCCCGCCCCTTGATCTTTGGTGGAGCAACGCATCCAGGGCTGAGTGTTGGACGACGTTGGACGTCCTATATTGAAAGGTCAGGTAGACCCTCACTTTGTGCGGCTGCCACTGCCTTTGTTGTCTATGGAGTGACAGAGAGGGGGCCTCATATATTTTTCAGACAGACGCAGGCATGAAACCGTACATCTCACGCCGTTAGACTCTGCTTTCCATGTCTAACTTTCTTTTGCTTTCTTACATCTTCAAGGGAGGAAGGCGCTATGGCTGGTGCTAAAGATGAGGACGATGAGAAGCGGGAGGACTGGTTTGAGGTCATGGGGTTATCGTGGGATGCTACAGCAGAGGAAGTCAAGGACGGTACGTGGCGTACGCGGGCCCAGTCAACTGATAAAGTCTCTACAAATTCACATCCTGGCCGATCCGCACATTCCTTTTTCTTTGGGGGGAGGAGCCTTGTACCTGGCTTTGTCGTGGAAAGAAGACGCGACCTGTCTCGCCCTCAGCTTTTTCGCTGCACCGTGGGGGGGCAGCTTCGCTGTTTGAGTTCCCGCTCACAGTTTGCCCGTGCCTTTTTTTCCCACTTTACACATATACACCTTGGCATGGGCTATAAGAATTGTCGCGCTTTCGCTGCTCTAGTCTCACATGCCATTCCCTCATAGCGCTCGCTGCCCTCCCCTTCTTCCCCCGTCCCACTCGCAGCTTACAAGAAGCTTGCCCTCAAGTACCACCCGGACAAAAACCGTGGGGATCCAAAGGCTGCCGACCGATTCATGCTGGTGACAAAGGCGAAGAGCTTCCTTTCCGACGAGGGAAAACGAAGACGGTTGTCGGAAAAGAAACATCGGGAAGCAGCCCGGGAACAACGGCATACGCAACGTTTCAAGGAGATGGACGCGCAGCGAAAGCGGTTCAAAGGGGATCTCGAAGCCAGGGAGGCCAAAGAACGGGAAGCATCCCGACGGCAGCGGCCCGGCGGGGGCGGGAGAGGACCGGGGCACGGCGCGGGGGAGAGGGAGGGCGGTGGGATCAACGCGCATGTCCTGGACGAGCTCCGTCGTATGGGCCAGGCTCAGCGGGAAGCGGAAGCGCGAAGGATGGAGGAAC